GGCAATATCTGCTTATTCTCCTGCCATTACCCGTGCCTTTTAAAATATGCTCAGTCTGGGAGTTGATTGAGTGGCTGCTGGGGGGGGGGGCAGGGGAGACTGGCAAAACTCATCTCTTCCCTCCTTCTCATCCACTGGATTACAGCCCCTTCCACAAATGAAAGGAAGCCTTTCGTTCGTGGAAGGACAGCTCTGGATCCAACTGTAGCATTTCAGGATGTCAGAATTCAACTTCTGCCAGTACAAAGAATAGTGACATGCTATCAGCTTAGATATATTTGAAGGATGTTCAGGGGCAGCTGGGGAGGTGGCTGATTATTTGTGACCACAAGGAAAGTGGATTCTTGACCTTGCCTCCGAGAGTTTAGAAGGCAGTGGGGGAATGCTGGAACCAGGTCTGCGTGAGTGCTGGCTACATAGCCAGATCAAAACATGTTGTTGCCTGAGATCAAGATGGTGCCCTTTATTTGATATACAGAAGCCAACTGGACTAGTAAGTGACTCCTACTTCAACCCCAAAGGTGGGGCAGAATGCCCTACTGCCCCTGAGGACAGCAGGCTATCTCTGCCCTCTGATAACTCCCTGCTTCTCCCCAGGCCTCAGCATTTGTTGACAGAGGCAGCCACCTCCCTCTGCCTAATGGCAGAGCTGGCCCTGGCTGGATAATTCCTTTTGTGGAAGCTTTGGGATGTAAAGATACCTCACTGCTTAACTGCCTGTTAACTTCCTGTACATTCCTGCCAATGTGGCCAAATCAAACCATGCTGACTTGGGCTGATGGGAGTTGAAGTCTCACAAAACCTGGTTGTGGGGGCACAAGTTTCTCAATCTTTACTCTAAACCATGGTATGCTGCCATATGTCAAGAAGCTCAAGCCAGGGCATGGTTAGCGTGAACCATGGCTTAATGAGATATCTGAATTGAGTCAGTGACTGGGCCAGTGTTTTCTTGGGAGCATAGATGCATATTGAAACCCCCGTTTCCCCAGTCTTGGACCACCAAAGGCTTTTTAGACTATTACAAGCCCAGATTCTGCCTGGTTTTAAATCAGAGCAAGTGACGGGTGGTTTTCTTTTCATCTCAGCTGGATAGATTCCCCTCCCTCCATTCTGAACCTCAAGGTCAGGTGAATGGTAATTTTAAATTAACATGCATTTAAATAAAATATGTAAATGAGCTACCCCTGCTTTTCTTTCCTTTTTCCCCTCACCCCTTATTTTTTCTTCTTCTTTTTGGCTGCTTTTCAAGTGACGGAGTAATGTGGCCATGCCATATCTGACCATCTTTATAATGATCCTTTCCCACCACACAATGGTTCTCTGTGGTCAATTAATTAATGTTTGTGAAGCTTATTGTGGCTCTCAGATGAAAGGAGTTACAGCCTGTAAAGTAATTGTATTACGCTGATGATGACTGATGCCGTGTGATAGCACAAAGCTGCTAACCCACTGCAAGTGCCAAAGAAGGTCAAAGTTCAGGGCTGGTTTATGTATCAGATTAATTTGCCATTAAAAAGTTGATTTCAGCTGGGGAAATGAGGAATGGGGGAAAGGTGTTTCTCTTCAAGAGTGAAGCATGCCAGCCCTCCTCCTCAATCCAGCCAAAGTTAAAGGTTGCGATCCAGCTCACAGTTAAGAACACTTCAAGCTATTCTTTTCAGTGAGTTTAAACATGTCTAATTCCCTTCTGGATTCTGGCCATCTGCTTTGAAGTTCCATTGGTTTCGAGGAGTAAGATTAAAGCCAATGCTTAGCTCTGCTGTTTCTAGTCCATGGGCTGTGTCCAATATTGTGCTTACTCTAAGTAGATCCATTGACTAATTTAAGTCCATTAATTTCAACAGCACTCTGAGCAGAACTTAAGTCAGATACAGACTAATAGGGTTACCTTTGATAGGAGCTTCTGTGACAATCTTAGCAAGGAAATTATCATCAGGACTTATTATGAATTTAGCATTTCCTGAAAAGATAGTGTTGTAAATAGGGAGTGATCAACCTATTTCTAGACTGTGTCACTTTCATGTGTGTTTTTATTCTGCCATTTAAAAAAGATTCACCAAAGTTCCTATTTAACTACACCCTTAGGTACATATTTTGAGCTTTTCATTCTTTTGCTTGCCACAAAATATGGATTTCTATACATTTTCGCTCTCAAGATACACAATTTGAAACACCGTGTGCTACCCGCAATCCAATCACAAAATTAGCAGAAGTAGGAAATCTGACAGATCATTGCATTAGATCCATACATTAATCAAGGGCGTTCAGGTCAGGTCTGTTCATATCAGTAGTCACAAAGAACAAGTTCCTGGAGCATCCCTCTTTCTGAACTCCAAAAGTGCCCACGGTCTGAAATGAACACACTAAGATGCCCTTTCTCTATTGCCTGCTGGGATTTTAATGCTGCATATTCAAAGCTGCCCCCACTCGCCCCTGCCAGCCCGATCCCAAAGTGAGTGAGAAAGGAAAGCTACTCTGCTGCTTTTCCTCCTAAACGGCGGGTGTACGATTGCATGCGAACGATAAGCTTATAGTTCATGACCTGAATCTAATGGTGACTTTTGTCATCTGCACTGGACAATTAAGTGACTGAGGAGTGAAACTGACATTGAGGAGCAGATTTTTGCCTCCCAGCTGCTTTCAAGACTTAGATTTCACTGTATCATGTTCAGAAAGGTCAGCGCTCTGGCCAGATGACCAGCATAGGGGTGCAGATGGCTGTGTTTGTCACCTGACTGCGCAGGGCCTCTGCAACCTGCTGCACAGGGCTAGAGTTCACTGAAAGGTTACGGGCATCTACAAAACGTAGCGTGTGACTAGCCCACGAGCAATGTGGCATTCCTGTTACTCAGTCACTCTCAAACATAGATCAGGGCAGCGCTGCAGCTCTGCCCAAGCAACCCTGAGATCACACAGAGGAGAAGAGCAGGATGGAAGTGCTGCCACTCAAAGAGATGAGCTTTGAATCCTACCCGATACATCAATGGGGAAGCGGGAGGTGCAAGGGACGTGCTTCACTTCTTAATGGGACAAACCCCACGTAATACAATTTTCACGAATCCAGTTCCATTCCAGTTCTTCCAGCGGCTGCAGTGTCAAGGCGACCCAAGCTGCCAGATGTCTGCTATGTTCAAGATACGCCCCTTAATTCAGATTAAACCGTGATCCATAGAAAGCAAGAGACATCTCTCTTGTTTCAAAACACTCAGCCTCCATGCTGCTTCACATACAGCAGATGCTTCTAAGCATCCCTTATTTTGAGCGCTGTGTCCTTTGGGTCAGATGGAGCCCCTGCTTGACTTTGTTGTTGTTGTTTAGTCGTGTCCGACTCTTCGTGACCCCATGGACCAGAGCACGCCAGGCACTCCTGTCTTCCACTGCCACCCACAGTTTGGTCAGACTCATGCTGGTAGCTTCGCGAACACTGTCCAACCATCTCGTCCTCTGTCGTCCCCTTCTCCTTGTGCCCTCCATCTTTCCCAACATCAGGGTCTTTTCCAGGGAGTCATCTCTTCTCATGACTACTGCATGCTTATTTATTTATATCCCATTCTTCAACCCAAAAGTTCCCAGGATGGCACACAGCAGTCCATAAAATGCACATATCAATACAGAAAAATTGTGTGTGTGTGTGAGTGTGTACAAGCAAGACCACTCCCTGCTGCAAAGCCCATTTCCACCTGGCCTGGGGGGCGGGGAGGCCCAGACTCACCCTGAACAGCTAAAAGAGGCTCCTGGGAGGCCACTGGGACATTGCTGGAAGAACTCTTGGTTTGCGGCAAGTGGCTAAAATGTATTAAAATGTTTTAAATGGTTCCAGTTTTGGTTCCTCTGTTTTGTTTATGTTGGGTTGGTGTTGGTTAAATGTTTAGTTGGAGTTGGTGGTTATTTTAATATGGGTATAACTGTTATTGTTGTTGTTTTCTATTGATTTGCTTGTTCCTTATGTATGATATTTTGTTTTTTAATGTTTGATGTTTTGTTTTGTTTTTATATATGTTGTAAGCCACCCAAAATGGCTGGGGAAACCCAGCCAGATGGGTGGAATATAAATTTAAAAATTTAAAAATTAATTTATTATTATTATTATTACAAAGATCACAAGCTGCCATAAATATGCTGAAATCAATAGAATCCATTTAATACGTGCAATTGTCTAATTGTCTAGTTAAGTACTGCAGATCCCCTGCCTTTCAAAAACCAAGCCATGGATCCCCTGCTTTGGATATCTCTCTCGTAGTTTTCGTTCTGTGAATGGTACCATGCACCCCCTGGGTGGGTTACATGGAGCCCATGGTGTCCACGGACCACCAATGTGGAACCACTGGTCTAATGACACACTGCCTTGGTACCTTCTGGCCTATGGTCAGTATATAAAAATAAACAATATTTCCTTCAGTATTTTGGTGAGTCTCTCATTGCACATAAGTAAATAACTGAAGCTCTCATCGTACACGATGAAGAGAGCACTGTTGGCTGATGTTTGATATTGCAAGAGGTGGAGGAGGTCTTCCAAGAGATCCATGCTGCAAAATTCCCAGAACAAGCAACTTGCTGGTTAAGCTGCTGACGTCTTGTGCCTGTTTAACTGAAATACATGGCAATCACTTACACTTTACTGTGACACTTGTGCTCTTTCACTTTCCCCTTTAAATCATGGGTTAATGTGTGGTTTTGACACCCTGGAAGTTGACACAATACCTCATTTCTTCATTTTTAACAGCAACACCCATACATATTTACGATTCTTTATTTTGCATTGTGCTGGATAATATTGGAATTCAATTTAAAATACTACTGGGCCTCTCTCTCTCTCTCTCTCTCTCTCTCTCTCTCTCTCTCTCTCTTTTAAAGAGTTACCTAGCTAGACCTCCTACAACTGATTTTGCATTTAGCAGCAAAGGAAACTGCCTCTAATCCATCAAGCTCAGTATTGTCTACTCTCCACTGACTGGCAGTGGCTCTCTGGAGTCTTAAGCAGGGGTCCTTCCCAACCCTAGTGGGACATACCAGGGATGGAACCTGGCATCTTCTGCATGCAGAGCAGATGCTCTAACCACGGAGCTACAGCCCTTCTCCAGAAATGAGATGCTGATTCCTACATACGCAGCCCTGGATTGCCCAGACAGCATCCATCCTTGGCCATGGATTTCTGCTGCATTAAAACGGCACACATATAAATCCATGACCATCGAACCATAAATGGCACCAATCGGCATCTACCCTTGCAAGGATTTAGGCTGCAGTATTATACAGACTTACCTGGACGTAAGCCATTTGAATCAACTTACTGCAAAACAGACATATACAAGGATCACACTACATATTCTTTTCTGGCACAACATGCTTCCGAATTGGCCCTCGGTTATCCCTTTGGCCAGTTTTGCTTCCTTTGTTTGTACTCAAGGAAGTAATGTTTTCTGGTTTGGTAGACTTAGGTCCCTGATGTAATACAGTAGACAAATGATAGTTGCAGAAAGTTTGGTTGCTATTGAAATAAATACACGGAGTACAGTGCCATCTAAGGAACAAACCAGGTCATTACACCAAAGTTCCTTTTCCCCTGAAATTTTATATCTGATAAGACTATGAAAAAAGTTAGATGAAGCTGAACCTTGTTGATTTAGGTTTAATTACCCTTGCAAGATCAAAATGATTTCCAACACACACACACACACACACCCCAATACAGCTGTAACAACCAATCAGCATGAGGACCATTGCTATGGTATTAAGAGGGTGGATTTTTTAAAAGGAAAGAGAACTAAGTTAAGATACGAATTAAAGATGGGGAGAAATTCAATCCAGTTTGCATTTAAAGGTGAAACTTCCTAATTTGCATCTTCCAAGACAATAAGCAAACTGAAACACAGCTGTCCAAAATTTGCACTTCTCTGAATTTTGCAAAGCAACCCTGCATTCAAGTGATGCACAACATGTATGCTAGGATAAATCGAGCATTAAAAATGCATATATTAGCAAACACACATGCACCATGTTAGGAGGGGATTGCTTTGCACAAATGTTAAAAGACATTCACACCAAAATGCTGGTAAATTATTAGGAGGACTTTTTTTTGTTTTTTGTTTTAATGCAAATGCACATTGAAATGTGGAGAGCTGAACTTAAGACTAGAAAAATGAGAAATTGATGGAAACCAAATTCACCTGTGAGGTGACAGATGCGCCCATCCTTACCCCTAACACAGGTTCAATTTTACTTTGACCGATAGTCTGACACTCAAAGATGGGTCTCATCTTCCCTGTCTCAATTCATCTGTGTGTGTTTACACTTAGGAGAAGGTGCTCACTCAAATCTCTTGCCTCTTCAACCTGACATAGTCTGCTAGACACAGCGAGCTTTTTCATGTAGAATAGCATTCGAAAACATGATTCCTTCACCTGTGTTGTGAAAGGATATGACCCAGGTTTCCACCACCTCTATCTTTAGAATGCATTCATTGCCTACTGACTTAAAATGCCAACTTGATTCACCCAACAAGCCCCTTTCACCTGCGACTAGTGCAAGGGTCCAAAACAGGGGGCTCTAGCCTTGCATTTTTACCCCACCCTATTCCCACATGGCTCCTCCCACTCTGTCCACTTGTGAGTCTTACTCATGGTTCTAGCTGACACATGGCTGGCAGCAGGGCTGGCCCAAGACATTTTGGCGCCTGAAGCAAACCATAAGATGGTGCCCCGCTCCCCACCAGAGAAGAAGCGGGGAAGTAAAGTGAAATATACTTGGAGTCGTGAGTGGATTTCATGCTCTTTATTCAGCTCATAGTGGTGAGGAGGAATGTGTATGTTCCCCCAAAATATCTGCTTTATATACATTATTTACACAATGGGCTGCACGTGATTGGCTAATTCCAGGATTCTCCTGTAGGCCAATCAGGTTGTGGATTCACTTCCACCTGGAGCTGGATTGGGTGGCTCCTGCAGACCAATCATACTGCTGCATTGTTCTAGGACCAATCAGACTGCTGCATTTTGGATCCTATTGTTCTAGGACCAATCAGACTGCTGCATCCTGAATCCTCTTGTTCTAGGACCAATCAGACTGCTGCATTTTGGATCCTATTCAACTCAGTACATAACATGAAGCTTGACATCAGGAACAAAGGGGGAATACAGATCTATAACAGTATCTGTTACCCCTGTGGATCCTGCCATCCGAGGAGGTTGCCTCACTTTGCTTCATGGGTGAGCTGGCCCTGGATGACAATAACACGAAGCAGGTTAAGCACTAAGAAATGGTAGTCTCACAAATCTATTTAGTATGAGCTGTGTTGTGAGACCTGTTGCCATTCTAAGGGTCTTGCTATTAAAAAGAACTCGCGCTGGGTCTCATGGTAATTAGCACCACACGGCTGATGATCACTATGGTAACAATATATTTTTATTCCACCAACTGAAAAGAATTTTAAAATGGAGACGTTTATTATTATTTAAGGGAACGCTGTCCCAAGGGCCCCAAGGCAGCAGCAGCAGCTTCCCACTGGAATCCTGTAATTTTTCAGACCACAAATGTTCCAGCGGTGGGGTGTGTGTGTGTCCCCTGCTTCTGGTGCACTATAATGCAAGAGTGCCCTTCCACATGGTCATTGGGGAAGCAGCAGTGATGTGTGGACAGCCCAGTATAAATCCACATCTAATATACTATTATTGCATCAATGGTATTGGGCAGAATACTCGCCAACCTCCAAAAAAGAAACTCTGGAGGGAGGCCCAAATCACATAGTGAGTGTACACACATTGATGAGGTTCTCCAGTGCAGACCTTTACCCCTCCAGGCACTGGGCAATAGGAAAGCAATCAGAGCAGCTGCCTGTTCCCTTGTCACTGAATCACCAAGATACCCAAAGAGGCCGGCAACCATACAAGCCCCCATTTACAACCTCAAGTGTTAAACTTGAGAAATAGGTTTCCAGAACATATCTGTATGTTATTTACAGAGCGAGATGTAGAATGCTATTATTGGTCCCTGGGAATCTCCCTAAGAAGACAACTCTTTAGCAGGAACCTCTCAATAGCCCTTTGTGGCTTAGGGCCCTCGTATCTACAGGACCGCCTCTCCTGGTATGCCCCGCAGAGGACCTTAAGGTCCATGAATAACCATAGTTTAGTGGTCCTGGGCCCTAAGGAAGTCAGACTATCCTCCACCAAGGCCAGGGCCTTTTCAGTGATGGCTCCGACCTGGTGGAATGCTCTATCCCGTGAGACTAGGGCCCCTCATTATTTAACCTCCTTCCATTGGGCCTGTAAGACAGAGCTATTCCACCTGGGCTTTAATTTGAATTCAGCCTGATCTTTTATTTCCCTTCCCTTCTCTTCCCTCCCCCTCCCCTTTTATGAAGATCATCCACTCTGAGACCCCACAGCTAATTCTCCCCTGGCCTCCTCGCTGACCCAAGTAGGACTAATTCAGCCAGCTAGCCCTGGGAATTATCTAATGCTTATTTCCCCTAAATTGATTTTTGATTTTTGAATTTTATTGTTATTCATGTTTTTATACTGTATTTTATGCTGCTTTTATAATTGTTTTAAATTTGTTGTTAGCCACCCTGAGCCCAGTTTTTGAACCAGGAAGGACGGGGTATAAATAAAAATGTATTATTATCATCATCATCATCATCATCATTATTATTACAGTGGTACCTTGGGTTACAGACGCTTCAGGTTACATACGCTTCAGGTTACAGACTCCACTAACCCAGAAATATTACCTCGGGTTAAGAACATTGCTTCAAGATGAGAACAGAAATCGTGCTCCGGCGGCGCGGCGGCAGCAGGAGGCCCCATTAGCTAAAGTGGTGCTTCAGGTTAAGAACAGTTTCAGGTTAAGAACGGACCTCCAGAATGAATTAAGTACTTAAACCGAGGTTCCAAAGCATTCTCTCTGTTTTGGGGTGGAGGATTTACACACACACACACCACAGACACACGAGTGGGGCACAACTGCCATCTGGCAGCAGAAACGCCATCAGGCTGCCTTAGTGGGAGAGATGGGAAGCAGGACTTATTCCATTTCTGCTCTGCTGAAAGACCAGCTCTATCAGTCACCTGAACTCTAGCTGCCTATGATAAGGACTACTGTTTGAGTTTGCTTTTTTCCTCTTCCCTCCTTTCCCCTTGTGTGTCACTTTTTTTTTTTTAGATTGTAAACCTGTGGGCTGCGGCTGTCTTGTTTTAATTCTAAGCTATCCTGGGAGCCTTTTTTGGGCTGAAAAGCAGGGTGCAAATGCTACGAACAAACAAACAAGCATTTTTGTCTTGTGAGCCTCTTAGTTCTCTAATCTCCCAAAGGCTTAAGGCCTTAGCAAAGCATAGAAGAGGCAGCCATGTTTGCTCATTCACAAGTCTGCCATTTGTGTGTGAAGGGGTCTCCTTTCTACAACAAAAGGTGGACAGACTTCAGACACTTTTCCCACAAGGCAGCTGGATTGGGGGCCGGGGGGAATTCGGAAGCAGTAGTCAGTGGGGAGGTAAGTAGAACAAAGGGGGTGGTGATTCAGCTCCACTCAGTTTATACACCTTTGCTGTAAAACTTAAACTCTCCCACCCTGCTTTGTATGTCAAATGGGCAGGCAAATGCACAAGGGGAAGGGGGGGGAATAGCTCAGTGCTAGAGGATCTGCTTTGCATGCAGACAGTCCCAGGTTCGATCCTATGTGTCTCCAGGTCAATGAAATCCTGGAGAGCTGCTGCCAGTCAGTGTAGGCACTGCTGAGCTAGATGGACCCATCCTGTTCCTCATTCCTGTTGACAGTTGTGACTGTGAAGGCAGGGACCAAGGCAACTGTTCTCCCTACTGGATGTTTCATATGGGGTGTTGTTAGGGCATAACCCCTCCATATCAGTTTGAATGGCGAGCATCTCAGAGTCCATCTGTGATGGCCTGGGATTCAGACTTGGATGCTGAACCTGAGGGATCCCAGCCTGCGCAGGATTCCCTGCCTCCAGAACCAGCTGAGCCAGGGCTGGAGCATGAGCCTGAAGGGTCCTCACCTGTGCTGGATCCTCAGGTGCAGGCATCAGCTGAGTCTGCTCTGGCTCCTGAGGGGAAGGAGGACCCATTGCCTGCAGGTGCTCCACTCTCAGCCCCGTCAGAGGAAGCTGAGGTTGCCTCTGGGTCTGGTAACCCTCCAGCCTCTCCTGAGCTACAGAGGCCCAGGGCAGAGAGGCGGAGGGAACTAAGTTCCTGCAGGAGGAATGCTCGCCTCCAGGCCAAGAGAGGCGAGTCACCAAAGGATCGGGGCCACCCTATGCCTCGTGGCAGATAAAAGCCAGCCAGCCCCAGTCCCAAGTTGTGGGAGCAACATTGTTTGTTGCTAGTTCCTGCCTGAACCCTGCCCTGATTTTCTGCCAGAGCTCCTGACCCACCCTGGCTCCCTGCTTGCATGCCTGTTCCTGACTTCACCCAACTCCCTGCCCTGCACCCAGCTTCAGCTACTACGGACTGCCTCCACGTTGCACCTTTGACCACGGACCAGACTTGGACCTCGCCTCTTGGGTAACCCACGGGACCAGCACACCATCAATCTCTTCCATTTCTCCCTTGCTCACTCTGGGTTTTGGAATTGCAAATTAGGGATGCAGATGCAGAATCTGGGATACTTTCCAGTTTCCTTTTTTTCCAGAAATCAAAGCTTGAACCGCTGTGGGGAATCCAGACTTTTCCATCTGTCACAAAACCACCCTCCGCACCAAAAGAGATTCTGAAATGAGCTGAGGAGCAAAACTGGACCAAAGCTCTTGTCCTTTAGTCATGATATATAATGAATGCGGCTCACTCCAACATCCTTAAGCAAAACCTGGGTAGCCAGAAGCAACTAGAAGAAAAACAAGTTTCTTTTGAAGCTGGTGGGGTTGAAAGGCATAGTTAGCAAAAGTTAGGGCAGGGAGACTTGTGTTCAAATGCCTCTTCGTTTGTGAGGGTTGCTGAGTGTCCTAGAACTGGTCGCAGTCTTCTCCATGTAACTTCACTCATAAGGTTCTTGTGAGCATAAGGTAAAGGTAAAGGGACCCCTGACCATTAGGTCCAGTTGTGACCGACTCTGGGGTTGCGGAGCTCATCTCGCTTTATTGGCCGAGGGAGTCGGTATACAGCTTCCAGGTCATGTGGCCAGCATGACTAAGCCACTTCTGGCAAATCAGAGCAGCGCACGGAAATGCTGTTTACCTTCCCACCGGATTGGTACCTATTTATCTACTTGAACTGTGACGTGCTTTCAAACTGCTAGGTTGGCAGGAGCAGGGACTGAGCAATGGGAGCTCACCCCATTGCAGGGATTCGAACCGCTGACCTTCTGATCAGCAAGTCCTAAGCTCTGTGGTTTAACCCACAGTGCCACCCGCATCCCTTGTGAGCATAACATGCGGTAATTTTCCCCATGCATGCTATTCTGACCTTCTTGAATAAATAAATAGATCAGTGTACAGTAGAACTAAACAAAAACTTTGGGTGATATCCAGTTGTGACATCCCACTTGCACAACAGCCATTTCACTCCTGGGCTCCTCGTTTTTGGTGCAGCACAATAGCCAAACCCAATGGGCATCTTTCACTCGTCAAATATGTTGTGCCACCAACAGTCCTACGACTATGATGATCATTGGCGACAGCTCACCTTGCATGCTACCATTTGTGCTTTCTGCTCGTACAACAACGTCAGTTCTCAAACATCTTTCACCAGCTCTGGATCTCATCTCTTGCAATAATGATACATAATACATAGCTTCAGCTATGGTGCAATGAGAGTTGAAAGAAATGAGGGGGGCACTTGGCTTCTTCTTCTTTTATTCAGCAAGATTTCTATACAGCTTCATCATCAAAAACAGCCAAGTGGTTGACATAGAACAATACTAACTAGTTTTTTTAAAAAAAGCAATAAAATAAAATGTTAAATAGTTGACCTAAAATTTATCAAAATATAAACAAAGGCAGCAGTTTTAAAAACAAATATGCTTAATAAATAATATATACCCCAGACCATGGTTTTATTTCAGTGAAGTTAGTTCTAACCTAAAAAAAGAGACACTTCATCACTTTCTTCTGCTCTGCTTTGGGATGACTGAGTTCTTGTCATCTTTCTTTGTTTCTTCTATTCACCTGCGCTGGAGAGGTTGGAGTCTCTTCCCTTTCCTGGGATTATATCAAGAAGCTGATGCCTCAGAAATCCTAACACCACAGGAAAGTTTGTTCATTCCAAGAGATATTCTTCGGAGAGAGAACAAAAAGATCTGGGCTCTTATGATGCCATAGGGAGCTGAGAGCAGAGAGATGCAGATGTACATCAGATGATCTTGCAGAAGAAGAAACAGGTTAGCAAATTTATATGGACCAAGGAAGAGGATTTCTGACCTAATTCATACCTTCCAGACTAATATGCAGATGGGAACTTAATTATCTTTCAGATTTTGCCTTCCTCTGGATTTTGCTACACAGTTCTTTGCTTTAACCCCCCCAAAAAAAGTGTTTTGAAAGTGTATATTTTAGGTTAATGTGCACACTGAGTTGCAATTTGTTTATAACTAGTACTTTGTGATGCAGTACATATTTAAGTATGCATTCAGATGCATATTGAAATTAGAATTTTCATATTTTTAAAGGAAAAAAATTAATGCAGATTAATGTAGAAATGGAGAGGAGTGGACTTATGGTTCAAGATTTGCAAAATCAACATATCCCTAGCCAGTGGCAAGTGTGCGTCTTTGTGTGGGCTTCCCATCTGGTTGGCCACTGTTGGAAGCTGGGCAATGGACCTGAAGGGTCTTCTTCTGCTCTTCCATCAGGAAAGGTGAGGCTGTAGGGGAGTGGAGCTCTTTTGTTTCTGCAAATGAGACAGCACTGTTGCTTCAGCCTCGTGCAGTAGTATTTGGGTAGTGAGCATGACTGGGTTTGTGAGACATGGAAGCACAGGACTCTTACAAATGCTCAAACAAAACATATGCATGGCAATATCACGAGGCTGAATCTGCCCTTTTGGGGGGAATCCGAGACCAGTAAGTGTCAGATCCCTCATAGATAGATTGCAGGATGGGTTTTGAAAGATGCTTCCACTTCTGACACCAATGGTGCCCACTTCGAAAAGTATTTAAAGGTTGCTCTCCCCTCCCAAATGCCATTGAGCTTAAATGTCAAAAGAAACAGCCAGCTCTTGCCTGTGAGCTTTTGTGGAAACTAGAATAACTGGAGAACGCTGATTCACAAACACAAATGCCTATTCCTGTTTTCAAATAATTGTGCTGATTATTCACTTGAATTTGGGCAAAGGGTGGGGCTTCTATTGTTGACATAGCACCAGCAGGACTTTGGGGCAGTCTTTCATGGCCCCACTCAGCAGGCAGCCCCCCAAACACAACTAGATTACCATATTTTAAAATAATACACCTTACCGTCTAAAGAGCTGGCGGCCTTGAGTAAGGTAAAGGGACCCCTGACCATTAGGTCCAGTTGTGGCCGACTCTGGGGTTGCGGCGCTCATCTCGCTTTATTGGCCGAGGGAGCCGGCGTACAGCTTCCGGGTCATGTGGCCAGCATGACTCAGCCGCTTCTGGCGAACCAGAGCAGCGCACGGAAATGCCGTTTACCTTCCCGCTGGAGCGGTACCTATTTATCTACTTGCACTTTGACGTGCTTTCGAACTGCTAGGTTGGCAGGAGCTGGGAAGGAGCAACGAGAGCTCACCCCGTCGCAGGGATTCGAACCACCAACCTTCTGATTGGCAAGTCCTAGGCTCTGTGGTTTAACCCACAGCGCCACCTGCGGCATTGAGTACAGAGTGTTAAATAACCTATCTGCGCCGGTGGATAAGATCTAAGGCATAAAGGCCCCCAACCAAGTTTGAACGCTTTGTGGCTGGGTGATGAGAGGACAGCACAGTATATAGGAAAACTGCAGATTTTGTAACCATTTGTTATTCTGTTGACAGTTGTGACTGTGAAGGCAGGGACCAAGGCAACTGTTCTCCCTACTGGATGTTTCATATGGGGTGTTGTTAGGGCATAACCCCTCCATATCAGTTTGAATGGCGAGCATCTCAGAGTCCATCTGTGATGGCCTGGGATTCAGACTTGGATGCTGAACCTGAGGGATCCCAGCCTGCGCAGGATTCCCTGCCTCCAGAACCAGCTGAGCCAGGGCTGGAGCATGAGCCTGAAGGGTCCTCACCTGTGCTGGATCCTCAGGTGCAGGCATCAGCTGAGTCTGCTCTGGCTCCTGAGGGGAAGGAGGACCCATTGCCTGCAGGTGCTCCACTCTCAGCCCCGTCAGAGGAAGCTGAGGTTGCCTCTGGGTCCGGTAACCCTCCAGCCTCTCCTGAGCTACAGAGGCCCAGGGCAGAGAGGCGGAGGGAACTAAGTTCCTGCAGGAGGAATGCTCGCCTCCAGGCCAAGAGAGGCGAGTCACCAAAGGATCGGGGCCACCCTATGCCTCGTGGCAGATAAAAAGCCAGCCAGCCCCAGTCCCAAGTTGTGGGAGCAACATTGTTGGTTGCTAGTTCCTGCCTGAACCCTGCCCTGATTTTCTGCCAGAGCTCCTGACCCACCCTGGCTCCCTGCTTGCATGCCTGTTCCTGACTTCACCCAACTCCCTGCCCTGCACCCAGCTTCAGCTACTACGGACTGCCTCCACGTTGCACCTTTGACCATGGACCGGACTTGGACCTTGCCTCTTGGGT